GAGAGACAGGAGAACCAGGGGATGGAGGGGGACAGGAGAACCAGGGGGTGGAGGGGGACAGGAGAACCAGGGGGTGGAGGGGGACAGGAGAACCAGGGGATGGAGGGGGACAGGAGAGCCAGGGGATGGAGGGGGACAGGAGAACCAGGGGATGGAGGGACAGGAGAATGGGGGATGGAGGGGGACAGGAGAAGAAGGCCCTCAGAATGACTGAGCAAAGCTCGTGTGAACTCAGAGACAGAGCAGCGTGCCCAGGGCTTGCACGCGTCCTCACCAGGTCCTCAGTGTCTGTGTTTTGCCTTCCAGTGTAGTGTTTTTATGAGATCTCTTGAGCGTGTGAACGACTGGGTCCCTGATTCTTGTACCTTCAGGTGGACTTTTTCTTCTGCCGATTCTGTCCAGTTCCGATGTGTTGTTTTTGTTTTGTCTTGTTATATTTTATTGTTATCGCTTGAAGCCCTGCTTTCTAATGAGAGACAGAAAAGGAGGTGAGGTACAGAGGAGCTGGGAGGGGAAGAAGGAGAAGACACTGTAAATCAGGATATATCATGCGAGAAAAAAATATTTTCAATTAAAGAAGAAATATTGGGGGTGGGGATGTAACCCAGCCGGAAGGATGCCCCTCTGTCATGCAGGTGCTCTGGGCTTGAGCAGCACATGAGTGTGTGTAAACACCCATGCTGTCCCCATGCAGGTGGTCCTGACCAGCCTTGATGGAGACATCACCAGGGGGCCCACCTAAGCAGACTGTGGCTCAGGGCCACTTGGGCAGGGAGTGCTGGGGAAGTGCATGTTTGGAATTCAATCTAGAAAGGAAGCTTGTGGTCCAGGTGCGCATGGCCCTTGGCCTTTAGCCTCCTTGCCCAGGGCGGTCATAGCTGTGGAGTGTGGTTGCTGGGGTCTGAGGGCAGCTCGGGGTCTTGTCCAGGCTTTCTTTTGGGTGAGCCTTTTTCTCTCCTGGGAATGATCTTGTGCATGGGGCAGGTGTGTGATGTGTGAAACCCTGCTCTGGCTCAAAGGCGGTAAGAGATGGGTTATTCTGAGTCAAAGAGTGGTAATGTCCTGAACACATGGGATCAGGCTGCTCCAAATGACATGGCCCACAGTGGAAGCGGTTACATGAACCTTTTATAGTCACAGAACAAGTCATCAGTCAACACGTTTAGGGAACATACTGTCGGGGACATTAGTCAACACACTTAGGAAATGTCCGGATTAGGACATGAGGGAGCCGGTTAAGCCAAGCAAGAGTCCTGCTATCTGATGATGTGCTTTTAGCTTCCATGATCTACTTGATAGTCCAAAGATTGTGAAGTTAGAAACAGAAGTGGAGAATTAAGGCCTGTGGAGGTTAAAGATAACATGGGATGATTTGGGCTCTGGATTCACAACCTTCTGACTCTCCACAGTTAGGGAATGTTCCGAGGGATCTTCAGACTTACACCACCTTTCCAGAGAACTTCAGTTCACAAAT